TTGTTTATTTCAAACCCATTTCCTTTAGCAGTTTGTACATTTGATCTCTCTGCAACCATTTGGTTAGCGGATCCGCTAGGTTTTCTATTGATTTTACATATTCAATAGTCAAAACCCCACTGGTGATCATATGTCTTACAGTGTTATGTCTACGTCGGATATGTCGGGATTTACCGTTGTAAATTCCATTCTTAGCCCTTGCTATTGCAGCTTGGCTATCGCAGTGAATCATTACGGGAGGTACTGGTTTAGTCCAGTATAAAATATCATCCATGAAGTTCCTCAGCCATTCAGCTTCTTCACCAGCTTTGTCTAAGGCGATGAACTCCGATTCCATTGTGGACCTTGCAATGCACGTCTGTTTTGTGGATTTCCACGAGACAGCTCCTCCTCCAATTGTAAATACATATCCACTTGTAGACAGTGAGTCTTTTGCATCGGATATCCAATTGGCATTGCAATACCCTTCAAGTACCGGTGGATATTTCGCGTAGTGTATGCCAAAATTTAGAGTAAATTTAAGATAACTTAATACTCTTACTAACGCTTTCCAGTATTCATGATTGAGGTTGCTAGTGTATCGACTCAACTTGTTTACAGAGAAAGCCAGATCAGGCCTTGTACAATTTGTTAAGTACATTAGGCTTCCAATAATTTTGGCATAGTTTTCTTGAGCTACGGGGTCTCCCCTATTCTTACTCAAGTGTACGCTGAAGTCCATTGGGGTTTTCACTGGAGTGTTTTCGTAGGCATTGAATTTTCTCAGTATCTTTTCCATATAGTGAGACTGAGTTAGAACAATACCTTCGTCTTGTCTTAGGATGACGTCGGCAACCCCCAAATCTTTCATGTCGAAGTTACAACTCAACATGCATTTGACCTCATTGATCAGACTGACCTCTTAGGCCATGATTAGTAGGTCGTCTACATATAGACATATTATGATAAGACCGGAAGGTCTCCCCCCACATTTTTTGGGGAAGTCCTGAACTTATCAGCAAGGCATTCATCATTTCCTTAAGTGTTCGATTTTTGCGTTCTGCAACGCCATTCAATTGAGGTGAATATGGAGCCGTTGTCTGATGAATTATGCCACTTTCATTACATAATTCTTCGAACGGGGCCACATATTCGCCACCTCTATCACTTCGAACTGTCTTTATTTTACAGTCAAGTTGATTTTCTGCCTCGATTTTGAAGTTCTTGAAGGCCTCGATTGCTTCGCTCTTTTCCCTTAATAGGTAAATATAGCAATACTTTGTGCAGTCATCGATAAAGGTGATGAAATATTTCTTTCCACCTCTAGTTTGCAAAAATTTTAAATCACATACATCAGTGTGAATTAACTCTAATGGCTTAGTCTTCTTTGCGACAGACGGGAAAGGTAATTTTGCCATTTTGGCCTCCACGCAAACTTCACATTTTTTTTGAGTGTTCACCTCTTTTATATTTAGTAAATTCATATTTACTAATCTTTTTATAGCATTTAGGTTTACATGACCTAGTCTACAATGCCAGAAATCAGGACACTCAATCAAGTACGAAGAAGAATCAACATTTTTATTATCAGTAGGTGGTGCTCGGCGCACGGCCATTACATTCAATTTGAACAACTCATTTGTAAGATAACCCCTAGTTAGGAACATCTCTTTTTCGATAATATAAATTTATCTGCTACAAAGACAAGTTTAAAACCATGCCTAACTAGCAGTGATCCTGAGACAAGATTTTTCCAAATGTCTGGCACATGGAGGACATCTTTTAGGGTTAGTTCTTTGCCAGAGGTCATCTTCAGCACCACGTTCCCTACGCCTTGGACCTCAGAAGTTGCATGATTTCTCATGTGCAGCTTTCTCCCTCCGGTCTCCTTGTAGGTCGAGATGTTTGTTTTGTCGGAGCAAACATGGCAGTTTGCTCCGGTGTCAATATACCAAGTGATAACTCCTGATTTTGTCATATTTTATAGCTTATATTTATTTATTTAATTATTTGTTTATGTCGAATTTTGATATTATTTATGTTAATTTATTCTAATAATTGTATTCATTTCATCTTGTTTGTATAATATTAAATTATTAGTTTTTAGGTATAATTTATAATTATTTTGGTGTATAAATTAAATTAATTGATGTGTTTCTTGAATTATATTTTTTGGCATTATTTATATGCTATTTAAGTATTTAATTTTAACTAAATTAATTTTATTTAATAAGTATTATTTATTTAAAGAAATATTTATAAGATGTTCATTATTTATATAGGTGAAATAATGCTTGAAAACTGATATGGGAGCCCAAAACTGGCCTTAAAAAGTGAAAAAATGGCTTCAGAAGCGAAAAATAGTCACTGGCGTGAAAGTCAACAAAAGTCAACGGTCAATGCTAGAAAGTCAACGCGTGAAAGTCAAAGTCAACCGAGCACGGAAGCCAAGCGATGGCCGCGCGAAAGACAAGCGGCGGCTGCATAGGAGTGCGCAACCGCGGAAGGCAAGCGAGCGCGGAAGGCGAGCGGTGGCTGTATTTATGAGCGCGGAAGGCAAGCGACGGCCGCGCGGAAGACAAGCGGCGGCTACATAAGAGTGCGCAAGCGCGGAAGGCAAGCGAGCGCGGAAGGCGAGCGGTGGTTGTATTTATGAGCGCGGAAGGCAAGCGATGGCCACACAGAAGACAAGCGACGGCTGCACGGAAACTTTGGCATTGAAGTGAGTGAAGCGATGGCGGCTGGCAAGGAAGGCAAGCGGCGGCTGACACGGAAATATGAGCGGAGAGGAAAGCCATACGTGGAAGTGAGCGAAGCAGCAGCTGCATTAATTCTTGCTGCATTTATTGCTGCTGGTCAGCGGTGCATTTACTACGCCGCCACAATAATTCCTGCACAGAATTCCGCTGCATTTATGTCTCCTGCACCCTCAGCTCCCGCATTTACTACACTCTCCCAACTCCCTTAATTAAAATCCTGCACTACTTTTTAGCCAATTTTTGGCTATTTTTGTGTAATTTTTATTCTAAAACCTTCTAGAAAATAGGTAGTTATTAGTAGTTATATTAGTAGCTATTTTTAGAGTTAGTTATTTATGGTTATTTTTAGAGGTAGTTAGTAGTTATTTTTAGAAGTAGTTATTTATTGGCGGTTGTAACCGCCAAGCTTCTAGAAGCTTTTCCCCCTATAAATATCCCCTCTAATTGTACTATATATATATGATACACCATAGATATATATATACACCATATATACACAATAATATTTTTCATACATTCCATTTTCTCCATTTCTTTTCTTCCGTATTTTTTATCTAGTTTAATAATACGGGATTTTCGGTTTTGTGTCGCGAGCAAACTGATTTTCTCCCTATTTTTCTTTTAATTTCAGCATAGTATTTTAGCTAGTAAAATTCCTATCGTATTTCTCCACCTCACCTTCACCCAAAAATTCCATGTTCGATTTGAATTATTCAAGTTGGATTTCGACAAGGTTGCGGAAGGGCGACAGAAGAATCGACTATTTCAGCCCTGTTATGCGCCAAAAGCGGTTTCCGGGTAGTTCAACGTAGCTAGTACGCAGGAGCTTTGTCGACCTGCTTAGTTGCTGTTCTGAATTCGATTTTGATTAAAGAGAGGTAATAAAAGGGGTAGAGCCACTAGCGGAACGGTTGGAAGAATAATTCATGGGGCATAGGCGGGGGTCTATTGGATCACAGAGATTCCTAGTGACAGTAGGGTTTCTTGCTTATAATGTTCTTCGCCGGGTGTCACTGAAGCCTCGTTGTAAATCCCCCAAGATCAAGTACCAACCGAGTCGAGAATCGGCTTAAGCGAGCAAATGCGATCACGTTCATTCCTCCGAGCCGCCCCGCAGTTATACATATATCTTTCGCTATTACGCCATCCTCATCCCGCTCATTTCATCCATGGAAATCTAGCCATTAAGGAACGCAAAAGTCAGACACAAACGCCTCGCTTCATCCTTTTCAAGATACATATATTTTATCGTTTTTTAGTTAGATTTAATTTCCGCAATTTATCTTTTCAATTTCTTCGATTGCATTAACTCATTGCACTTTTTCTAATTAAATATAGGATATTCGCATATTCCCTGAGTTCGACCCGGACACTCACCGGTTAAAGAGATTTTTTTATTTTTGATGAATTTTTTGGAGTTACTACACGAACACGCACGACACTATTTTCATTTTATACATATATCATTTTTTTGTATCTTAAAAGATATTTTAAAAAAACTCTCCAAAAATCTTCGATCACCAAGCTCTCGGACTTTCCACATTATTAGTTTCGTACACAACAACGACAAGGTTGTCACTATTTAGATCACGATCAGTTCGGTGGCTCGTCTCGACCAATTGGGAACTCGGCTTCTTCTTTTTCGGTGCCTTGCAGTCCTTAATCTGGTGTCATGTTTTTCCACGGTTAAAACAATTACCTGTAAACTTGGACTGTTTGGCTTTGCCCTTGTCCGTTTGAGTTGGGCGTGCACGTTTTTTGGCGGGATCTCCGACCAAGTTGGCTTTAGCAATATCTTCACTTTTAGCCTTGTGCTGCTTTCTGTTGTCTTCCTCTATCCGGATTCGGACAATCAGATCTTCAAGCACCACTTGCTTTAGCTCATGCTTCAGCCCGTGCTTGAAGTTGCTCCAACTCGGGGGCAATTTCTCGATCATCACACTCGTGATGAACTTTTCTAGCAGTGACATCTCCGTCGACAACAGAGTGAACAATTTGTTGAAATTCTTCCACTTGTTCGACAACATACTTGCCATCTACCATCTTATAGTCCATAAACCGGGCCACAACAAACATTTTGGACCCGGCATTCTCGGACTTATATTTTTTCTTAAGGGCATCCCACAACCCTTTCGCACTCTTTATTTTGCAATATACATTATAATGAGAGTTAGAGAGACTACCTAATATAGTATTTCTTGTCATGTAGTCTCCGTGTGCCCACGATGCATAATTAGCATGCGTCTGCTGATCTGCACCGGGTTATGGGGTGATTGGGCCATCGTGCAACACGAACATGGCAAACCCAATCGCAGTCAGGTAGAAGAGCATCTTCTCTTGCCACCTCTTAAAGTCCACTCCCGTGAATGGTTGTGGAGCTTGTACATGGGGCATCATCTGTGGGCCAAGCCCAGGACCAACAGTTTGGGCCGCGAATGAAGTAGAGGGTGCGGCCACAAACCCAGGAAATCTCCCATATCCTCCGGGGGCAAATCCAAAAAACAAAGGGTTGCCCATAAAGGGAACTAGCCCAAGTGAAGGAGCGACTACCTTGTTTGCGGTTCCGGCGACTCCTCCGACGATTCCTCCGGCGGCGGCTCCAGCGACTCCTCCGGCGGAAGCTCCGGCGGAGATTCCGGCGACTCCTCCGGCGACTTTTCTGGCGACATCTCCGGTTGCGGCTCTGGCGACTTTTCCTGCGGCGGTTCCGTCGAAAACTCCGGCGACGGTTTCGGCAACGGCTCCGGCGGCGGTTCCGGCGGTGGCTCCGGCAGGGGTTGACATTCTCGCAAAGTTATATCTAATTTTCGATTGTTGGAATATATGGGTATTGCGAGAATAAACGTGAAACCGAGTCGAGTATGGATCCTCTTTCTGAAAATTAGATACGCCTCGGTAGTGCCTCCGGTGAATGGCGTTCTAACCCAAAGATAAAACGGTTTCCGTCTCCAATGAGAGTGGCACCTCTAATCGTTGGAGCTCCAGAGAACAAAAACGAGAGAGGAACTGAGCTGGGGAGGCTGCCGGAAAGCTAGAAGAGAGGAGAGTAGGACGAGAGGATTATTAGTTGTTGGTCATTAGAATGAAGGGGGAGGCTCTTTATATAGGCGTCTCCACTCCGCCAAAATGGCAGGAGATTAATTATAATCATAATTACGACCTTAATTATCAATGTAATTAATTATAATTCAAACCTTTCGTCTGAAGCAGTCGTAATTGATTCTAATTACAAACCTTCCGTTTGTGACGATCGTAATTTATTCTAATTTCAAACCTTCCGTTTGAAACGATTGTAATTTATTCTAATTTCAAACCTTCCGTTGAGATTATAATAAATTTATCCAACGGATAATATTTTATCCAAATAATATTGCGACTTAGGCCATATACCCGCATTTAATTTGGGGTTGCACAATTTGATTTGTCATGAGACAGACAAAATAGCCAAAATATTAACCAAAACCCATAAACAATAAATAAATAATATTTATTTATTTCTTCCAAATTTGGTACACCGACCCGTCGCATTTTCACTCACAAAATAATCGATTGCAAAATAACCGATTATCCAACAAATTTTTCATGCCATATTTATTTATTTATTTTAATGGCTGATTTTGTAAATAACCAAATATTCATTATGATTTGTTTGATGATTCAATTAAATTTGGGATGCAACATTATTTGTTTTCGATAGTATGCATTTGTTCAAATTCGACTATAATTATTTATTATATCAAATTTATAGTCTCTTTGGGGGCATATTTTTGCCTTTATAATTCTGATGCATTTAGTACTTTCTTGGACTATTTGATTATTCTAATGAGTCCATAAGTTAATTGTTGCTATTAACGTTTTTATTTATATCTGATATACATATCGTTTTTTTAAGGTGAATTTATTAGCAATTAATAATATAATGGATTTTATGAATTGGTTGAAACAATTATGTCGCCAAAGCAGTCTCTGCAGTTTATTTTATATATTAAAAGGTTGTATGTGTGACTTATAAGACCGTTGATTGGCCTAAAGGCAAGTCAGCGATTAAGTAGTTACATGCATATTTAACGACATTGAATGTGATGATGACAATTTGATTATTTGTGAATAATAGATTTGTCCAAAGACGGAATATTTTTTGACACACTACTTTATTGTCAACATTTAATTGTCAAAACAAGTTTATCACTTGTGAGTCAGTAATTGGTTTAAAGACAATTGTTGATGTTGTCCGATAACTTGTGATATGAATGCTAGTTTAATTTATAAATTCACATACAGAGCATTCAATTGCTTATAAACATGTCCATTCATTTACCTATACACATTCTTCATTTTTTATGGAATCAGAATTGTATGCATTAAACGTGATTATGATTTTAATTTGGTTTAAGGATATTAAAAATTCATTAATAATGTTTGTTGCATTTTGACGGTGAAAATCCAGTATTTGAAGTTGTCAAAATAACCTCTCTTATGTGAGATTTTTACTTGATAACGTAAGTATTTACGTGTGTTTTAATTCATGTAATTATGCTTCGGCCCAAAGACAGTTGGTAATTGACAGAATGAAATATACATCTACGATAATATGTATGAGATGATTATATAGATTTAGCTTATGTGAATAGTGAATCAGTCCAAAGAGTGATTTACTATTTGACATTACTTATTATCCGTACATGATTATTACAACAAGATGTCTGCTAGCAATCAATGTTATTGATCCAAAGATTGATAATTGATGTCTCACTTAGTGTTTTGAGATGAGATTGCATTATTCTTGAGTTTCATTATACTTCATGAATGTTTTTTGTGTATATTTATTTGGCCCCAACACTGTCTGCGAACAAATATAAGCACTGAAAATAATCAATATTGATTCATTTAGACTGTGTGAATTTTGACTTGACAGTAAGAATAGACTAACTTACTCATACGACGAAAAACACTGCAGATGAAAATCAATTATTTGAGATGAGAGATAGGTCCAACGCCTAAGTCTGATGACCATTAAGAAAAACAGTCCATCAATTTTTCGAAGGACGATATCTGATAATATCACTACTGTCAATGAATTTTTCGTCAAAATTAAGAAATGTTTTACTAAAAGCGATAAGGCGAAAATGAATACTATTCTCAAAAGTCTCATTACCATAAGGTATAATGACAAAGATAACATACGGGAGTACATCTTGAACATGTCTAATATTGTTGCTAAATTGGGGGCATTTAAGTTAGACCTCTCGAAGGACATGTTAGTCTTATTGTTCTTGCTCTCACTTCTATCTCCAGCTCATCAGGGTCGTACTGGGGAGAAGACTTACTTCTTTTGCAAAAAGGCTGGACATTAGTTAATTTCAGTTCATAAACACACCTGGGGTTGGATTTTGGTGTAACAACTCACATCTGTGTGTCTATGTAAGATTATTTCTATTACCAAAATAAATTGATGTTGAAAGATATATCTATACGGGTGACGGCAAGAAAGTTAAAGTTGAAGCCAATAATAATTTTATATTATTATTAAGTACTGGTTATTATTTGGATTTGGATTAGACATTGTTTTGTACCATCTTTAGTTGAAATTCAATTTCGGTCTCTATTTTGAACAAATTCAATTTCTTGTTTATTCGGATATAGAGTTTGTTCTTTTTTAGAATTCAAAATATGTTGGAACTAGTAACTTATTTGATGATAATAATCGTCATTTGCTTAATTATATGGCTTCATATTATTAATCACCTATCGTACATATTCATTCAACTTCCATGATTGCGGATCTGTTTAATTACTAAATGGTTGCCACATAAGTTCTATAGTAAGCATGTTGCTTGTATGAGCGTGGAACCATATTTCGATATTTCGATGTAGTGGGAACTGATAGTAGTGTTCAGATGCTATTAAAGTTACTTTATTTTATACTGCAGTATTCAATATGCATTGTTCAGTATTCAGCTTTAATTCAGTATTCAGTTGTTCTAAATTAAAGTTAAGGTGAATCAGTTGGAAATAGGCATGTTAAAATCACATTACATGAAATTTTCATGTTGTGCATCCCCACTTGATCGAGTCTTAAGTTATATTAATATTGTGACCACTGATCGATCCAATTGCGATAAATGCAGTGATGACCGCTTTGATCCGTATTGATGCGATTTATAGATAAGATTGGTAAATACATTATTACAAGATCTGATAGCAAAATTTTCATGAGCTTATAAGGTTATTCAATATACATTTACCTAAGTGAGAGATTGTTGGAGTATAAATCCATTGTGGGTTAAACCCTAAACCCTAAACCCTAAACCCTTAAATGTATTTAGTAAGTACGAGTCTCCTATATGCAACAATCTGGTAACTTATTAATTGAGTAATGATGTCAATTAATAATAAGTGATATATATTAGGGTTGTGTTCCCAGTTCTAGGTGCAACATCCATTACTTTTCATATCTCATCGTGAGAATAACAACAAAAACCCTAGCGGTTTTTCTTAGGAGGGATTGCGTCATAGGCTTCAAGAACACAAAATACTTCATTAATTTGCAGAACTAAATCTGGCTAACGCTAATAGAATCATGTCAGCTTTATTTTCTTTGTTTTTATCTCAATTATTTTAACACGAAAGATCTTGAGCGGGTTTAATTTTTAATAAGTTCTATATGATAAAAGAACATAATATTAATCAAAATACATAATACAATTCTTCGCATTGATTTTAAATTATTCTTCGTATAAACTTTATTACAAAATAAACATATACAATATACTTAAATAAAATCAAAATTGGAATCAGTAATTTTTTCTGAATAAAATTAAAATTTTAAAAATAAAAAAAGAATAAATATAAACGGTAAATTCAAATTGTAACTGACGATTTTTAAACTGTCAAACTGAAACCAATATGTTTTGATTTTGACAAACCAAAATCGACAGTTAGAACCATTTGTGCAAGTCTAACGAGGTTAATGGGTTGGATAATAATATGCAGTACTTTCTTGTTCACCATGGCTACGCTAATCGACGCAGTTGCAGTGAACCATTTTCTGATGTTGTTGACTTGTACCTACAAAAAATCAAAAAATATTTATTTTGGATATAGTTGATGACAATTTCTCTTGAAAAAAAAAAAAAAAAAAGAATAAGTCTATCAATATAATGGGTTCGTAGATTCTATTTATTTGATTTTGATTTTGTGATTTTATTTCCTTGAATAAAGAGTAGTAAGATCGTTATTATTCATTATATATATATATGTTAAGATAAAAAAGGTTAAAAAAACTTGGAAAAAACTACACTGAATAAATTATAACAATTTTTTAATTGGAACTAATGACAATGAAAATTACAAAAGATATGAAAAATATAAACGAAAAAATCTCTATATATTAAAAGGAATAATATTAAACAATAAACATATACGTATAATTTTATATCTATATGCATATTGCATACAATATGACATTAGTTTTTGTTAAAGTCTAATATTAATGTTTTTTAAAATAACATTTAATGTTAATAAAATAAACTATATAATTATATACTACCTCCGTCCCGCAAAAAAAAGTAATATTTTTTTTCACATAAATTTTTGAATATTAGTATTATATTGGTTTATGGTAGTCTTGAGATATTTTAGATATTCAGTTTTAAATTTAGTAGATTTATATCTAAATTTGATCTTATTCATATATTAGATTGCTTAGATTTGAATCTATCGAGTCTGTTTTGTATTGCCTATATATATATGCTCCTTATTTTGATGATCAATAAGACAATCTC